CTGTAACTTCCTTGTCTCCATATTTCTTCGGCTGTTCCATTCATCGCCCTGGCGTCGTTCACGGTTTTATTAATGTACAGCGCAAACAGTAGAGGGGACAGAACGTGGAGACCAGTACCGACGTTGACGGGTATCGACTTGATACGGTTTACTTCGACGCAGCACCTGCTGTCACTCTGCCCGTAACAACTAGCCACTGATTCCATATGTTCACAGGCACGCCCATAGCTTGTTGCCCGAGATCCAATGGTTTTCTCTAAATCCACAAAGCACATGTAAACTAGATAAGCAAATCCACAACTTGTGAACATTCTGGCCTACGGTGGAAACCTCGTCAAAGTGCTTTAGCTAGTGGTGGTGCTTTAGTGTTACCGTAGTGGTGCTTTAGCCATATCAGAAACCACACTGCTCTTTTTGTATCTCAGAGTCACTTGTTTTGCGGAACCTCCATTCTAACACCTTTACCGAATTTTTTCCCGGGAGACTTAATAAGGTGCTGCCCCCCATAATTAGGATACTCCCTATGGTCTCCTTTCTTAAACATGGATTCTATAAACCCAGTTCATTTCCATGGGTGTTGCAGTTTGAGAGACATTTGTTAACCACACGTGTGTTCACTTCAAGTTATAAGCGTCTCAGGGCGGACTTCGTCGATTTCCGCAGCTGAACCACTTTTTCAGGCTTTTACAGCTTTTGTGACTTCATGTACTGAAAGTTTATTATCCGTTGCATGCTGCGCGTCAGATGTGTCTCTCTGCGAATAAGTAATTCCTCAAAGAACTCTCTCCTTTGATCAAGTATGTCCTCATCTTTGATAAGAGAGTGTCGTGACTTGTCCTTCAGAACTTTCAGACTATCTATTTTTCTACCTCGAAAATGGCGGATGATCTCCCAGAATACTCTGTTTTCATCTTCGACTCCAGCACCTCACCGAAATTTTCCCATAAATCACTTTTCGCTGCCTTCTTTAGCGCTACTTCATAACGCATTCAAGTTGAAGGCTCCTTACTTCCAAGCCATCTCCTGAACGCAGTTTTCTTCTCGCTGGCGGCTAGCTGTGCCTCTAATGTTCGTTTCTGACTTCCAGGCGACATGCCAACCCGTTTTAAACCGTGGCATACAGCGGTGGCCCTAGTAAGTCGCTTGTTAAGAGCTCCCGCTCGGTTTCCACGTTAGCGGTCGTCACCGGAATCTGTTCAAACCGTCGTGCGGCATTTTAACAAGTTACGCTCTCGTATCCGCGAAAGATAATGTTTCTAGTTTGATTCTGTCGTTGCTTTTGCCACCGGATCTTCGCATGGTACTCCATTTTTTACAGTGTAGCGTGCCAACAACAGAGTTATGATCAGTTGAAAGCTCTGCGCCTCTCTTAATGCGAACATCCATTATCAAATCGTTCTTCGGCCTCTGTGCACAAACTTCCCTATGGAAGGTGTACTGGTATCGGTTGAATGCTCGAATGAGTTGTTCATAACAGACAGTTTGTTTGCCAGAATACTTCATTCCGTTATTGTTAACGTTGCTAGGGCTGTTCTTTCCAATACTGCCAATGTAGTTCTCAGTGTCTGCACCAACATGCGGATTGAAATAGTCCGTTAGATTGATGGACTCCTTAATCGGCATTTCGTGCAGAGTATCTTCTACTTTCTCCAGGAAAGACTCATTTTTTCTCTGAATTGGGCGCATTGACCTTTAACCTGTTATACCATCGGTCAGTGGTTTGCTACTGTTTTTTTTACTGGCTTGCATGCAACGGTTCTGCCACAGCATTGAGTAGAATAGTTTCCACCCACAGTTGTTCAGAACGCCTGAACGATGGAGCTTCGATGATTATAGTCGTACCATATGGATTGGTATCTTGCGACCTCATCAAACAGCTCCTGCTCTTGCCGTCTGAGAGAGGAGATGTTATCGTTTTTGATTGAGCTCAGTTTGTCGGTATTGTACTCGTGGAGCCTTATCTGAGGTGCTATAATGGTATGGCGCTGTTGATTACTTCGTTCAGAACGGGTCGGCTCCGTGGCTGACATTTTTTCATCTTCTTGCCGGTCTTCTGCAACCGTCGCCATGTTGCTGCGTCCTTAGCTGCCAGAAATCGAGAAGCCGTTTCTGATCTCCGCTTTTTCTTAGCCTGCCTCAGTTTCTTAAGTATTTACTTGGCCCTTGGTAACCCAGGCCAGGCCGGTATAACGTTCGATATCGACAGTGCCATGAAATGCAGGTAGTGAAGTTTTTTGGACGATTTCGCCACTCTCCCCAACGGTCCTTCTTTCTGGTTCGGGCGATGGCGATGTTCGAGACCCGAGATTCATTTTGTAATTCTAAACTTATGTATGACATGACAGAATATGAATTGTCGGTTTACTTATCGAATTTGCTTTATATATGCACCATTTGCATTTTACAGTTGATTACAACTGTTGTATTTAATTTATTTATCCTCACTGCCAGGGCTTCCCTTAGTTCTACCCATGGCATCAGGCTTCAGCGCTTGGTTTGCTTTAGTTATGATTCTGTTTTGCTGCGAAAATTAATGATGCGAGGATTGTGTTAGGACGAGAATTATGTCAATAATCATGATGTTAATAAAAACCGATAAGAGGAAGGTCTGGTATTGTGTGGGTAGCTATCTTATCTTTGGCATGGAGTTCCCAAGTGATTGTGCTTCAGCAAAAATGACACGTTGTAGAATGGGACGCTAAGAGGAGCGGAATGGATGCAAAAATACTATCCTGCGTTATGTTGAAGCGCGCTAGGCTGCAGCGAAAGAAGTAGCACAAGCCCAAGCTGATCCCTGGTAGAAGTTCGGTAAGATGTTGTAGTCGAGTTTCCAGACGGCAAATAAGGTATTCTATCAGACAGTTCGCTGACTCCGAGGTGAAAAGAAGGACAGTATAAGAGTCTTAGAGCAGAGGGCTGGACACCCTCTTAGTGTGAATAAGGACATTCTTCGCAGATGGAGAGAATGCCTTGAAGAACTCCTTAACTCTGAGCAACCGCCGGAGGACTCCGATTGAGCGCAACTGTTTCCTTATATCAAATCATGGAAACTGTGAAAAGTTTGAAAGTCGAAAGGTTCCTGGCATTGATGAAATTCGCCCTGAAATGCTGAAAGCGTTAGGCGAACAAGGCATGTGCTAGCTTACACGTGTCTCTCAAACTGCAGTGGCTATGGGACAGACACCAGTGACTGGAAAACGGCGGTTGTTGTACCCTTGTTGAAGAAATGAGATCACAGGGAGTGCTCCACTTATCGGAGCTCATCTTATTAAGCCTCTCAAGTAAAGTCTACGCAAAGGTGCTAGAAAGGAGGTGCCGCGGAGTGACTGACTCCAAGATATAAGGAGGGCAGTGTGGCTTCCGGCCCGGTCGAAGCACCTCTGACCATATATTTTCCCTGCGCCAGATTTTTGCAAAATCG